AGGAGGTAGAAAGAACAACTTAAACTTCTCCTCAGATTTAGCTCTTAGCATGTAAGAGCAAACTATAATCCTTCCTGTGTGCATATATACTTATTAATATTTTCTAAATAAATATTAAAAAACCTTAAAATCTTTAAAAAAACCTTAAAAATCAATTTCACAGATGATTATTCTTGTTAAATAAGCCTGGAAAAATTACCTTTAAATAATTATATAGCTCCTTTGACAGAAGTATCAACTGATTTCTTTTTGTTCTTGCCTATGAAGAAAATGTGAATTCTATTCCTCTTTATAATTACCATATCATTAGTGATGTTATAGTTCCACTATATTCCACTTTCCCCAGTATATCCCTTAACTCAATGAGAACAAAGGTTAGCTATAACTGACTCTACTAATATACAATCAAGTAAAACACATGCTGCTGTAAGGCTTGTGCGTTACGCCCATCATGTGAGAACAGGTATATTAAATGTTTGCGATTTCTTACGCACAGGCTGGACTTGACTAGGGAGCAAAAGCTGCAGCTACAGCACCTTCTGGTCGAGGCTGAAACTGGCCCAGGTCCTTTTGTGCTTGCCCACAGACAGGACACCAAGAGCGTTTCGTTCCTAGGACTCCGAGCCAGAATGCTTACGGCAGTAGGCAAGGTCATTCCCGCTGGCCTCCTGGGCTCACTGGACTCTCCATGGGGAAGGGGCTTACTTCTGAAGCTCTCCTAGCCTCTGTTTTCTTTTTGCATTTAGTAATACATTTTGAACAGCCTTGACAATCGTGAAAGTAAAATTACCGACTTCTGTATTTTCCTATTTAGTCTACACACAATCCAAAATATTCTCTCATTGCTCTTGAATGCGTGGAGTGACATAGCATATCTTGAAGAGATCTTATTGATTAAATGTGTGCTAGCACTAGCTGCTGTGGGAGGCGTGTTGTGACACATGCTGCTGAATACAGCTATGGACGAAGATGCTGATATAGCCTCACATTTCTGAACCTCAGGTAAAATCTACTGTTATAAGGGCGTGTTTCCAGATTTACCAAAATGTAGATATGCTTCTTAAATGTCTTTATTAAAACAAAACAAAATTTTCTCCATTATTTTAACAGCAAAGCCACAAATTTCCAATCTCATTCCTTACCTCCATGCTTTACCTGGTATTTTTATGTTGCTCAGTTCCTCTAATGCAGTTCCTATTTTATAAAGTACTAGCAAATGAAAGAAATTGCTTAATGTCCTCATAATTTTTGTCAGCAGTCTGAACTGTAGTTTGTAATCTACGACAAACCTCATTAACTTTTGAACTGACTTGATTATATCATTTGAGCCACATTAGCTATACCTCATGAAGTCCTACGCTTTTTGGCTGCAGTGCTCCCCCAATGATATTTCACAGTCTGCAAAATTTACAGCAACTTTTACCCACAACAAACCATTATCTGACTGTAA